TGATCACATATCTTCGAAACGACTAGCGACCATCACAGACCAATTGCTCACGCTTCCTGGTATGTATGTAATATATTATTTTCATTTTCAACTACAATTATTACTGCAACTATTTTAGTTAAATAATTGTTCCGTGAATTATTTGTTAGTGTACTTGCCACGACATTATCTGTTTACATACTAGTCGCTTTCAAATATGGTACTTTTTTAAAGCTCTTCAAAACCTCTTATCAAATGTTGCTGCATTGAATTCCGCGGAAAAATTGATATAAAAATAGATTAAATACACCAATTTAAATTTACTGCCGATTTCGCGAAAGCAATTTATATGAAAAATGAAAATTTCTGTAATTTTCCATATTAAATTCGAATAAAAAAGAATACATTTTTCACTTAAATAGCTTTCGTGAAACTGGCTATTAGAGTTTTTCTTATTTATTTTTTTTATAATTATAAAAAGTTAAAATTTTTTTTTAAATTTTCGAAATACATTTTTAAAAAAAATTTATTTTATTCACATTTATAGCCAGTTTCACGAAATCAATGCAAGTCAGATGCTTTTTTAATTTAGTAGAAAAACTGGCAAAAGGGAAAAAATAATTTTTCACTTCAATTGCCGGTAAATCCCCGCAGTTAAAGATTCTAAATTAATTTCTTAGAATTTTTTTCGAAGTTTCATATTAAGCTTTTTAAAAAAACTTGTCTCAAGCTCAAAAAATATTATTGATGAACTATAGTTGTATGTAACTAATTTTATAGTTAAAAAACATTTGATAAATTTTTTTATATCCTAAAAATTATTAAAAAATATGTTTGTACATTTGTTGTTGCTTAAAAAAAATTTAACAAGGCCTACATTTCTTTATACATTAAAAAATTATTAAAAATATTTAATTAAATTTTTTGTTGTTGCTTAAAAAAAAATTAACAAGTCATACATTTTTTTTTTTGTTTTATTTTTATCGGTCTTAGTTCCTTTTTATGGTTTAGTGTAAGAATTTAGCATAGAAGAAATGTTTTAATTAAGCTGTCCAACAAAATTACAAAATATTCAACACTAACTTAAGTGAATTATTTGAGAAAAAGTTTAAAATATGAGCAGTTAAGTTCCGTGTGTGGCATTTATTTGGGCAGCGTCTTTCTAAAAATTCCACATTTTTCAACCTTTTTTGATTGATAAATTTTTCCTTTTTTTCCACTCTAACCTACATAGTAAGTACACTTGTACCCGCGTTGTAGCACAATCAACCCAAAAGCAGCGATATGACTGCTGCCACCTTGCCCCTGTTCATTATTACAAGTATTTATGACTGAACACCTGTGCGAAAACGAAACTATCAATTTTTGTACGTTTTGTTAGATAAGCATTACAGTGTTCTTCAAACTACTATGTATGTATGTATATACCGTTAGTTGGTAATTGTCGCGCAGGTGCTTCTACTCGCAGTATTGTCGTTTAGTGCTTAGTGTGCGTGAAAATTAAATGATTAAATCAACTCAGGTAGAAGCTGATAATAATATGTAATATTTTTTAGACACACATACATACGACGTGCATACATACATATATCTACTGTAGTGCTATTGGCATAATAAAAAATACACAATCGATTATACTTGCTTGCTCGTATGAAACAACAAAAAATATTGCAAAACCGCTAATTAAACGGAGACGTAATACCTGTATAAGTCGGTAATTTCATGTAAATATTGTTTTTTTTTTTGTGAGTGTGCATGTAACAAACCATTTTTGCGCTTGTATGTGTGCACCTATTAAGCGCATGTTTTGGTCAAAGTGCAACTGCTGTTGTGCTTGAGTAAGTTTTTTCAACTGATTGCTGTGGAAAATTGCCAGCTTACATGTGGTATTTCCGCCATAGGTGCTAACAAGTTGCAAATACAAAAAAAAAAGAGGGGGCAATGCTATAGATTAGCAGCTTAAGTAAGTAGCTACTAGCAGCACGTGGCGTTTAAGGCGCCTTGTATTGAGTTTTTTTTTTTTGTGTTCTTCTTTTCATATTATTTAATATTTCTGTATATTACTCGTATTATTTTTTTATTGGTCAGCTTCTAGAGGCAACTACTCGTAAGCCGGACTAATTTTGCATAGATAGAAACTGATTTTATACACTCTTCTTCCGGCTGATCAACTTATTATGTCAAGCTTTATATTACTGGTTTGCTTCCTGCATTGGTTAAGTCTGGTGGAATTAATCAGAAAACATTAGCTTTTTCTCGCTGATATTTTATGCGTATGAAAAGGAATAAAAAATGTCTTGCAAAAAATTCTCAAGTAGTTTTAAATCAGTAACTCTATAGCCATTTCGTGATCATCTCATATTAAATCAAGGGTTAACTACTATACTTAACTTAAAGATGTGTCTCAATGACTCTTTGAGTGGTTCTATTTTGTGACTAGTGGTCAATATATCCCTTTGACTGTTTCATAAGGTAGCATTTATATAGAGTACGCGTACTGATCCTTCAATACCTGAGGTCGTTGCAGTAAAAATTCTTTCCAAAATATCGGTTTTCCTAAAGTCGCGTTAACAAAGAGGTAGCTGAAAATAGCCTTGTTCCTCGAAGATCGTTAAAGATCACACTAAAATTTGTTTTGCCATAGTCAAGATAGGGCGATTTATAAAAGTACTTAGCTCTAATTTGTTGTTTTTTTTTGTTTGTTTTTTTCGAAGATCGTTAACATTCATACAAAGTTTTATTTTATTGCCTCGAAAATCGCGATCGTATCAAAATATTCAATCTATGTTGTGGTCAAAGTGTTTTCAACTACAACTATTAAGCTTGCATGAAGCATAAAAATATCGATCTTACTATAGCCACAATAGCGAGGAAGAGGTTGTTCAAATTACATACTAGTATATCTGTTCCTTGAGGATCGTTGACGATCATACTTAAAATATTTTTTTGTCTCCTAGTTAAAAATCGTAGAAAATGTTTATTCAGCAAAATTTGTTGATGCCACTGTATTTTCAATGAAGTTGAAGTAAAAATCATTAGCCTTACTATATTCACAATAGCGAGGATCAGTAGAGTTAACACTTTGACAATGATTTTTTTGTCATTTTAGGAAGTACCAAAGCTTAATCTCTTCTTTACTAGTTCACCGCAAACGCCGAGTTCAATTAAAACTCATGATTTCTCTAGAAAAGTCTTTATCTTTGGATAGCAAAGCAATTATGAAAATTACTCGCTACCTACAGCTGCTATTGAGAGGTGTCAACTAGGCAATGATATTGAAGAGCATAAAATATTTTATCAGTTGTAAGGGGATCACTAAGGAATCGATCTTGCTACCATTTAGAAGCATTTTTAGATAGCTCAAAGTCTGAGTTACTTCTCTCCCTGAAATCACAGATCTATCGAAACTTGTTAATGATCAGTCTCAGTTTTTTTTTATTTCTTTGAAACCGAGATCGCGCTATTTCAGCATGGTAAGATCGGCGTAAGATCACCTTGCCTACAAATACGAAGGCGTAGATCACTAAAAATGCTGCATCTGTAATGATTTTACATAGAGATTACTAAAGGTATCTTTTTTCCTAGTATTTTGAAGAGAGGTCTTTCGTTTTATTTAATGAGATAATCATTTTAGCAACTTTTTTGGGTCCCACCGCAGGAGAATCAAGATCACTAAACACTTGAGTCTGTTCACAAGCACAAAAGTCTCTGATTGTTACAAACTACTTAAAATCTTTTTATTGGTTCGATCGTCTCTACCTGAATCCAAGCTGTTGTCAAGTAGTTTATAATATTTGTTTCTCTTTTTTCTACGATCGTCTTGATTTTAAACTAATCTGTTGTCAAATACAGATATTTCGAATCGATTTGAAGCCTATCTGTTGAAGAGTACAGAACACACGAAGCAATACTAGTGAGGATCACTGAAGGTTTTCTAATGTTCTAACAAAAATTGTTTTGTTTGCTGTATTGATTTCCAAGTAAAGACCTGAATTTAGGCGATGTTCCACTGAAATCGTTAAACAATGTTTCAAAATATGAATTTGACCAACCCTTTGCCGAAACTTTGCTGTTTGAAATGATCTTGACCCAGTAGGAATGCTAAGCTTTGCAAGACTTATTTTTGATAAGTAAACTGACGCAAAAATGGAAATCTCTACACAAGATAGTAATCGCTGTATACTACAAAAAATCTACGGATTTTTAGCTGAAGATACACTATAAGCGTCCGGAACGTTCCCAGGAGAATTGGTTCTACAACAGAGGCGGAGGTTTTTCGAGTGCCGCACGCATTTTATATAGACGAGCGCTGTGGAAAAAATTTCACTCTGGCCAATACTGGTTTACATATGTATGTACAATATCTGTAATTTCGGCAGTATTATCAAAGCATATTTCAAGCACAGGATCATACAAGTTTTTTCTTCGAAATCGATGCTTAAAAACACCTAGCCGAAACTTTGTAATTTAAAAGATATTAATCCCATTAATATTTAGTTGTCTAATCTGAATTGATTTGATAAATGCAACCATCGGACTACTTAGTAGAGGTATAGGTTCCCTAGAGGCTATTGACTATATGTAATGATGCATTTAACAGTCCTCGCACGGCTATAAAGCTTATAAAAAGTTCCGGCTATGTAGACCCGCTCTCTCGTGAGAACGAACAGAATATCTTCGAATTTGTCAGTGATGATGTGCTATCAGCCGCCGGCAAGGAATCAGTGAGGTATTTTTTTTTTTTTTAAGAAAAATTTGAAGTGTATATTTATCAAATAAAAGTCATAAAATTTTTAAAGTCAGAAAGTGTAGAAATTAAATTTTTTAAGTCGAAGTCAGTTGTGTTTTTTTTGATTTTATGGTCTGAATTAGATGACACGGACTTGCCACACAGCGCATGTAACAATTTGGCCCTATTGCGAACATCTCTGATCTTATTAAATCGTCCTATATTTCTATGTAATATTTCATAATTATTTCCTCTTTAGAGATTTATTTATTTTTATTTTTCTAACGCTTACCTTTCATAATGATCGCTGTTAATTCTGAAGCATTTAATTGCATACAGAATTGATTCTCACTGCTTATTGCTGTTGCAGTTGTAGTTGCAGTTGTTGTTTTTGTATTGGCCATATATGTATGTAAGTATGTATGATTGGGTGTGTACGCGACTTAATCCGTTGACGATGAAATTATATGTATTTGTTTAACGTTTTTACTTCAATTATTATTGGTTGTTACTTTTCTTATATTTTATGCTATTTGCTTAGCAATAAACCACTTATGACGCCGGCAAACGTTTCTGTAACTGACTTGTAGTTAGTCGGTAGTTTGGTGGTTTTGTGGGGTTAGCGTACCCCGATTGTTCGACCGATTAGCAATAATAGTAAAACTGTTAATTTGTTATGTTGCGCTAATCCGCTGTCAAATCGTCTTTATTTGCTAGAGCGCTTTTCTTTATTTTTGCGCGCGCGCGTGTGAAACTGCTGTTATGCTGCTTATGATTAACGATGAATCCGTAATCCGTAGCGGCTATTGTTCTAATTAATTTTTGCACTTCCGCAAGCGCGCTATGTGGGACACTTGCCTTTCGTTGGGAGTTTGTGTTGCACAAAATAATTTTTTGTTTATTTTCGGACTTCTTTCATTAGAAAATTTCACTTTGCCATTGTTTTTATTCTAAAAATCTTCTACAGTGTTTTCACGCGCAAGCCGGCTTAAAGGCTTTCATTTATTTTTCCGTTTTTTCCTACGGCAAATTTAAGTTTTTAATATTTTCAAGCACTAATTTGCGTAATTTTCTATTTTGTGTAAACAATTTTTTTTCGAAAATTTTTCGGCTTATGAAACAAGCGTGTATGTATATTGAAAGCTCTTTGTTTTTCACACAAATTTAAGTTTTAGATTTGTATTTTTAGCAAATATTTTTATTTCAAGTGTCAGCTTTTAATTATTTTTTTTTTATATTTCTTCAAAATTCTACGTTTTTTAGTGGTTTTCCTTTCTTTGCCATGCACAAAGCTGCACAACTTTGACACTTATCACAATACGAAGTACTTAACAGCCTCGACAGTTGCGCTCAAATAAGCAGTCACCTCTTTTTAGTACCTTTACTCAGCTGTTAATGATTTGCGTTATGAGTTGACTAATTTTTTATTTTATTTTCACAACACTATGACTTGCATATTTTACCTAGTAAGTAAATAGTTGTCTATTAAACGCAAATATCACTTGTTCTATAGTCACTATTTGTTTTTGTTTTTTTTTTTACGTCAATACTGCCACTTTCGGCTACTCAACAATTCCAAATTGTTTTTGTGTCACTCGAAACACGTTTTAACTCCTTCGTTTTTGTGGCGTTTTAGTTATTTATATTTATTCATTCCACATATGTATGCAATAGAAACCTTTTCCGTTCTCTTGCACTCACATCCGTCAACGAGCGAGGTAGCGAACCGAATGACACACCAAACTCAGGCGCTTCAAACAGCAACCCAACAACGGCAAACGGCAAACGACAACGACGGCGACGACGACGCTGATCATCCAGCAGAAGGCAGGCAGGCGAACGCGCAAACAACCAAACAACTTAACACCACACCAAGCAGAGCCACCAACCAGCCAACAGGCTAAAAGCAGACAGCCTAATGCTGTTGTGCACTTCGTCGTGGTCGTCGTCGTCGTCCGTCGCGGTCGGCAAACCAAACAAATGCGAACTCTTCGATGACAGCAACGATTGTTGTGTTGTGTTGCATCGTATTGCATTGCATTTGTAGCGGGGACACTTGGAGTAAAATGGGTTGGTTGCCGGCAAAAATGTTCGTACTCGTCCGCTGCTTCATACAAAAACAAAGTCGTTTTATAGCCAGCGGCAGCGTTGCCATTTTTTCCGATTTACCTACCGAAATTGGTGGATTGTTTTTAGTATAGAGTTTTGCAATTTCCTTTATAAAAGTTTTCTCGGAAATGTATCGTAGGATTCTATAAACTTCCGCAACTCCAACTTCGTTCGCAGATTGACGGGAAATTTACTGTAGCGGTCAAAGTTGGATACTAGAGAAACGCACCGGACTTGGGCTTTCCTGAAGACGAAACGCTAAATATGAAACCAGGAAAACCATGACTGTTCTACTCGCTCGTAAAACTGTTAGTGAAGTCGGACTTAAGCTCGACTATTTAGTTTTTCTTCAACTTATAAGTTAGTGTACCCTGGGCTGCCCATCTGCGAGATGCAGTAACCAACCCATATAGAGCTTTTAGTCACGGCAAGAAGAGTTATAATTTTAGTAGGACCTACCGCTAACTGAAGTGTGCAGCACCTGACCGCCATAAGGTTCATCTGCAAGTGGACGTCTATTTTTGAGTAAGCGGCTCGCTATCTAAACGTGTAAAATAAGTCCAACATCAGACATTGCGTAGCTGCTTAAGGACTCCTACCGCTTCCCTACTGACTGCATTTCGAGTTTACGCACTCGGCAATTGCAAGTATCGACGAAGAGCAAATGAGACCGAAAAATGGTTCTGTCCACCTAAAGACGATGTGGAGTTTACAAGACCTTGCTGAGATGAAAAGGGTCCTTCGACCAGGTGGAGTAGGATTTATAACACCAATGAAGATGAAGATGAAGAATTTTTTTACCGTAATATTAATAATACCAATAATAGCATCCCTTGAATTGTCAGGATGTGCTAAGTAAAAAAAATCTACCTTCTCCTAACTGCTTCACCACCAGTGTTGCCGTTGAGAATTTTCACAGAAAGTCACAAAAAAGGGGCCATTGACGAAAAAAAGGGTCACCATATAATTATTGCTTTTCTTTACTATCAAAAGAATAAATCGGTTGAATTTAAGGAGAAAATAGCTGCACAAAACAGGGTTGCAGACATGCACATATGTAAATCTAGTTACTGCAAGGAGAACAGTTCCCAACAAACATTTAGATTTGAGCTCAACTTGAGGTTAAATTGAGAACAAAGGTATTTCTCAAATCTCCAACGTTGTTTCTCAACAGTATCTCAAGTGGAAGATTATGGCGTTCTGAACAAAAATGGCATTCCTCTTTGTATGAAAAAAGGACTGTTTCTCAAGTTGAGAAAATGCTAGTTCTTACATTGTCCCGAGTTCTGTATGAAATTAAAAAAGTAGATTATTTGGTCTTTGCCGCTGAATAAACTATATTTTTATCAAAAAAAAAAAAGAAAATTGGGTAAGGAAAAAATATATAAATAAATAAATATCATTTTCTCGAATATTCTACATATCTTCGTTATACTGAAAGACCTGCATTTTTTGTTTTCATTTCGGAAATCGGGGATTTATTTGAGAGTGTAGGGAAAGAATTTTTGCCCCGTCCCGCCCGTTAAGTTTTTTTGAAACCTTCCCGATACCGCCCATCCCTACCATTTTGAAAATAGTACCGTGGATCCCGCAGGTGTCAATATCCCGCGCCCATCTCTAATTCAAAACTCTAACTTTTTAAGATTTCGTTCAATTTTGTTAGGAATTTGATAGGGAAAAAATTTTGATTAAGTGGCAACATTGCCTGAACTGATTTCAAGTATCATCGGTTGGCACAGTTGGTTTGTTAGTTGGCGATAAAAAGCGATATGATAGCAGGGTGTGCGCGCACACTCATCCACGTATTTGCATATGGGGCGCCATGTGTTGCAAAAAAAAAAAACAAAAAAACAATGCAAAATCGAAATTAAAGAAGAAAATACTAACTTGTCCACTTCGTAGCATTTGTTGGCTGTTGTATGATTGCACACACATACATACATACGTGCATATGTATGCACATGTTCATTGTTGTGTGGCGGCTGCTGCAGTTGTGCAAATAGCCGATCTTAAAAAGTTAGGTTGAAGTGCAAATAAACGGACAGACCAAAAGTGTTGAAGGACAAAAGGTTGGTAAAATATTTTTTGTGGTTGGTTGTGTCAAAAGTGGTTATTTTTGAGTATCGATGTGCGGTTGCGTGGGAGTGAAAGGGCGAATAGGGGTGCGCAAAGTTGGCTTGGAAGAAAACAAATACTTGAAACAATTTTTTTGTTTTTTTTTTTTTGTGTGTAACAAAAATACAAATGCAACTTTCTGATTAAAATTTAGCAAAATTTTTTAACTAATGCGAATTTTTCTTATTAATACGTTGTGTTTTATTCTTCGTATAGAAAAAACGAACCTGGCGTCAAAGAATTTTGCTTTAAAGTTCGACTTACGTGGCCCTTCGCATCCGCGTAAAATTATTTCAATCAATTAAAAAAAGTGTAGTTTTATTTAATTTTATTGTATTTTGCTTCACCTTTTTTATATTGTGTTATGTTATGTTACGTTATGTTAAGTGTGACTAGCCTGGCACCAGTTAGCCTTTTCTCCACGCGTATGCCATTAAAGGACGAGTGGAAGGGGCCAGTGGTTTGATGGAGGCACCGGTAGACTTTTATTCGGAATGGTAGGTGGAAGGATCGAAAAGATGGAGCTCTACATCAACCTTATATGTACCTAGGCTTTCAGATCACTGTAGTGTTTTTTAGGCGGAGACTGCTGCCATTACTCAGCCAGGCGACAATCGGAGCCCTGGGCTCAGTTACGGTAAGCTCGAATGCCATTACTGCGGCGCGGGCACCAGGCCATAGTGACATCGCAAGAAACTGCGTGGCTAATGAGGTGGCCAGAGGAGGCACTCTCGAAGTGGTATCGCAAACAAAGTCAAAGTGGGAGCTCTCTTGACTATGTATGTACTTGTGAAGTACTCTTGGAAAGATAAGCCTCGTTTCAACTCAGCTAACGCTGTGGGCTTACCATGCTACGCATGTGTTACTGCGAAATAATTCTGGCAGAGGGTGGACCGGCGAAGGTCAAGGGATCTCCTTACGCTCGCGAAGCCGAATCTCGATTGTGGTGGGTGAACTGACACCAACATCAAACAAGACCTCTTCTGTCGCAGCTGCAGTGAGGACGATGAGGTGAAATCAGCTCAGCACCTTCCCTAAGACTGCTCAGCTTTTGCTCCGTACCGACTTCGGTACTTGGGTTCGTTCTTTATAGCTTGTGCCGGGAAGATTTTCGGTACTAAAAACAGCCGTCTGCGAAACTTCGTTCACGATACGCAGCAAATTTTTCTTTAATTTAGTA